ATCAAATATCACAAAATAGAACATTATTTTGATTGAAACTCAGAGGGTGTTTGTCTCAGTCTTGTCATTATCTTGATGAAAGTCTGGTGACCTTAAGAAGTTAGCTTTTGCATAATTCACAAAAACCCAGTCAAAGACCAGCAGGTCAACCAACCAATGGTTGTTTCAGATTATCTGAGAGAGATCATTGCCAAGATTTAATCAAAGACCAGCAGGTCAACCAACCAATGGTTGTTTCAGATTATCTGGGAGAGATCATTGCCAAGATTTAATCGAAGACCAGTAGGTCAACCAACCAATGGTTGTTTCAGATTATCTGGGAGAGATCATTGCCGATATTTAATCAAAGACCAGCAGGTCAACCAACCAATGGTTGTTTCAGATTATCTGGGAGAGATCATTGCCAAGATTTAATCAAAGACCAGCAGGTTGTTTCAGATTATCTCGAAAAGATCATTGCCAAGATTTAGCTAAGGACCAGCTGTTTCACCAACCAGTTCTTTCTATATTTTTCTTTCAACCAATCTTCGTTAATATACATGTATTTACCTGTTAAATCCCACAATCATTTTAACAACTAGTGGATTCCCTGATACAATATCAGACATCTTATCAACTTTAGATCTGAAAATATACATGGTTTCTAGAATGTTCAATACCACAACCGAAGCTAATAGGATATGCATGGCAGACCCAGACAGGTTAGGAATGGTTTAGCTTCTCCTTTTGTCAAAAGCCATGGTTAAAAAAGCATTCGCATTGATTATTCCCTGTTAGAAACAAAGGAATTGAGCCCCCAATATTTGGGTGACTCTACCACGCCTGAAAAAAAGGTATAACTTTCCAGCAACTGCCTTTTCCACTTTCAAAATCACTTTTTCTAATGCTAAATACAAACGAGAAATAATGATCAAAAATTCCTTCCAATAAAATTTCCTATATAATCCTAAATTCAAATATGGTTCCCTTTTTTATAAGGGGAAAGAATCAGGTATAACATTTGCTTTGATCGATAGTAGACCATTTACTGTCAAATACAGATCTATGTTCAGTTAGTTTAGAGAACCTCACCATCCAATCACCAATAGATATTAAAGGGATTGTAAAGAGAAACTTTCTGAAATATGTATGTGTATCTGGAACCCTAATAGAATCAACTATTCCAATTTTCAAACAAAGGTCTGTGGTTCCTGCAATTCCACTATATCAAAGCGTTTTATGATGTAACTAATCGCAAGGGGTCTTAGGTGATAAAGCTTATTTTGCAAGTGTTGATGTCATCAAACACTTTGTTATGTTGCAGCGTCTGATTGAAAATTGGAATGGTGCAAATTGATGCTAATAGTGTTCCTGATACAAATAAACATTGAGAAAACCTCTTCTAAAATATTAAAGACGTTAAATGCACTACTACTATGTCCCAGGATAACAACAAAATTTAAATCTTCAAATTTAGCCAAATTAAATTTAAATTCATCAGTGCTCATTTTCTGTTCTTCAGGGTTGATTGATGAAATTACAGAGCTAGCATGTTATTTGTGTTTCCAAAAAAAGGTTTCAAAAATGCTGTAATCTCTAATCAATCCTGATTAATGGATATCATGCCAACTTAACCCCGTCTTCTTTGGACTATCAAGTCCTAGAACAAATGCCACAAGGCAGTTTGGTTTATTCCCCTCGCAAACAATCAATATCATATAAGGTCAACAAGTTCAAGAAAAGTGTGTCAGAATGGTAGAGTACCATTACTATCTTAGTACTTATTTGTCCAAGAAAACAATCAAGCGCCATACTCTGAAGAATAGGGTAAACGAAACATGCTAGTAAATGATCTATCTTCAGTTTTCTTCCACTATCTTGACATTTTTTTAACTATAACTATTGTTTATATATGTAAAAATAATTATAATTTGAGATATATTTGTCACCAATAGATTAGAATAAAAAAGATAGCTTGCCAGGCAAGGTAACATACGCCTACTGGCAGCTGTCAGAAATAATAAAACAGTCTTTAGTGACTAAAGTATGAATTTATGAAAATAAGTAGGAAAATAAATTGAAAACATATTGAACATATTATGTTCGCACACACATTTTGACACGTGTTTCCTAAGTCAAGGGCAATAACTCAAAGACCGTTCATCGAAAATTCATCAAATTCGAACTTGACCAAGAACTCATTATAAATGATCACACCAAATTTAATTAAAATCAGTTGAAAACTGTAGTCTCTATTGTGTTCACAAGAAATGTTGACGGACCAACAGATCGACGGACAGGTGCGACGGCAATATGTCCACATTTCCATGTGGGCGTATAAAAAGCAGGCATTATCATTCTTTCTTCTAGTGTATATTTGACAGAATCTATGATTAATATCTGTCACATTATCATCCGAAACTATATATGGTTCTTGCGTGGAAATAACAGCTACCAGGGTGATGACTGTGACACAAATATCAAAATTATCACTGAGCTTTAAAGGAATTCATGACAACCAATCTGACTTTCCATCTAAGTTCTGCGGATTCTGTTATCCCAGGAAATCTTTACCAAACTATGACATCTATTACAATACCATTTAACTTTAAAGCCACAAGTTTCCCTTATACAAAAGCTTCTGGGTCCAAAGTTCCTTAAGGACAACATTTGATACAATAATGCTAAAAAATTGTGTATTTCTTCACATGTACAGTCTCTAAATATTTATATAATATATAACTTCCTATAGAGTGTTGTTTTCAATATGACTATTGTCTAAGCAAGGTCAAAAAAGTTTTTTTGAATTTTCTATATTTTTCAAGAGAAATATCAACCTCAAAATAGTACGTTTAGTCCTTAGAGTATCTTTGTGTTGATAAAAATATAATTTTTTATAAGTTTACATTGAAAAGAAACACATTTCTCTCCATGACAATTTTTAAAAAGTCCCAAATTTTGGCTGAAAAAATTGTCCTCTGTAAAACAAAAATTTGGAAGACATAATATGTGCTTATGTTTATATTTTTATCAAAGCAAAGTCATTTTAAGACTAACAGTATTATTTTGAGGCTGCTATTCCAATTCTCATAAAAATAATGGAAAATTTCTAAGACCTTTTTACCTTGCTTAGACAATAAACTATGGTAAATTTCCTCTTCCTCTTAGTATGGATACATTAACTATTTAAAATAATTTTACCAAAACCAAAGAAATAAGGGCTATTATAATTCCATTCCATATTAAAGAGATATTGGGATAATTGAATTACATGTATACTTACAATCGGCTAGAGGCAGCATAAGATAAAGAAAAAAAACGTAAGAATCAAATATCAGAAACATTAATAACTATTTTAAGGTGGCTTAAAACAAGTTTAAACCATTTTGAAATGTTAGTGTTATACTCTTGAAAAAACATACAAAAATTGACAAAACCATTGGTCATCTGATCAAAATACAGCAAAATCTAAATGATGTGTACTATTACGGTTTTTTAACCTTTGACATCATAATTCATGTTGCTTAACTAATCATAGGCAAAATTCTCATAATTTTAAGAGAGACAAAGAATTTTTGTCCAACAAAATATGTCCCATAATAAATGATGTCCGAAAAGAAATCATATTGATCAAGATGACCCTATCCCCAACTTGCCCATCTCTAACTATTATGAAGAGAGCTGTTCATGTTCTTAACCTTAGAATAGATTGAGAATTCTAAACAAAATTTTAGGCCAAACTTTCAATTACAATAACAATTAATTGGTTGAAACATAATTCATAGCTGAACTCTATGATAGTAAGAATGTCTACAGATTCACATACAGCGAGCAACCTAAATCTGTATTTTAATCAGACGAAGCCAATGAGAGAGGAGAGTTGAAAATAAATACTCACAATATTTCCTCTCGTAAAGCTGTTTCAAATAATTTAATTAACAAATATTCTTCTCTTTGATTGGAACCATAATTAAACAGGGAATAAATCACAGATTCCATAAATTTGGTGGATCGGATCTGGGGCATTTCAAATATCAACTTGGCAAGATAGTTAGGGTTGGTTTGTAGGAGGTAAAATAAATGCTGATAGCTGTGAAGCTTCTCGTGACTCTCTCGACTTAATGCTTTTAAGCCTTTAGGTCCGTCTAATGGTTGATCTGCTCTTTTAGTTAATTTCTTATTGTGCATTACTACATCCTGAAAATAATTTTTGCCAACAAAATTTAACTTAAAGGTATACTACATCTTAGAATGAACATAAAATTTTAAAATTTAAACTAGGCCAATAAAAGCATATATTCATCAGTAGATATACCTGGTGTCATAAATAACATAACAGGATCCTTATATAATCCGATAAATCAAAAAAACTTAACAATTATCCATAAATATGCAATTAACTATTGAAAAATACTTTAAGCCTTTTTCAATAATTACTTAGTTTTATGAATTTTCCAATTTTCTAGATTTTACAGGGTTCTGTTGTAACTTTATGACATCAAGATAACTGAAGAATAGATACTCATATTGGCCATTTTTGAGAATGTAAATTACGTAGTATCACGTTAAAGGGATTGTAAAGAGGTTTTCTAAATTTTTTATGTCTATTGGGGATACTGATAGCATCAATTTGCACCATTCAAATTTTCAATATGACATCTGCGGTACTTGCAATTTTACTAAAACTAAGTGTTCTCATATCAATAGCAGCTATAGTGATAAAGACGTTATAAATTACATAGTTTATTTATTAGAATTACAAAAAATCCAAGATGTCTGACTTAAAATTGAAATGCCGCAAATCACTGATTTCAATATCTCCCTTGCACATAAAATGTTAAGAAAACCTTGTTACAATCCCTTTAAATCACTGGAATTGAACTCCTACACCTTATTTTTTACTTCATGTTTTTGACATTTCAAATTGTGGGATAAAATTGGCAAATTCATAACAAGACACTTTAAGACACAGACTACTTGATGAGTTCTGTCAAATGAAAGATTGGGTGATAAGCTTGATAAGCCATTAAGAATAGTGTGTCTTTCAAAATGTCTGTCAAATCATTAAAGATGGGTTCCCTTATTTTCATTGATGAAAATGAAAATGCTAATACTTATATGAATAGCAAGTAGAGGTGTTCTAATGACTTAGAAAAATACCACTTTGTCTCAAATTTCCATAATTAATTCAACAATAAGCTAAATTAGAGGAGAATTACCAGCAGAATTCTATAGAGTGACTGATCAAGAAAGGTCAAAAAGTCTTTTTTTGTTTATCCAGACTGTACATACATGGACATTTATGATTGGTTAATTCTATGCAATAACAACATAATGATATGATTAAGAATACATGATAATTCATTAGAAACACCAATTAATTAAATAGTTTTATTAATTTGACACTAAAAAATAAGGAAACCCATCTTTAAAACGAAATCCTTCATACAACAAAACTTCATCTCTCATACAAAATGAATCACATTATCACATTTCATGTTAAATCACAGAATAAATATTATCTTAGTCTCTAACCTGTAAGGTGATTCTATTCTTTATTAATAAACCTATTTTAATATCCATCTGATCTAAATCTTGTTCTAATTGTTGATTGGATCTAATTTCTGCCACCACCTGCTGACGTAGTTTCTGTAACTCTGTTAAAATGACAACAGAAACACATTTATTCACTAACTTATTTAAGATAAAGAAATTTGTATTGTCTTCAGAAGCACAAGAAATGTACAAAAAATCTCATAATTCCTTCAAAAATACCTCTAACTTTCTATTTCTATATATGTCTTTTCTATATATGGCAGAGTCTTAAGAAAAGACAAACCGGCAATTTAACATTCAAATGAGAATAATTCTAGCAACACATGGATGTTAAGGCTCAAATTTTTGGATACAAATGGAATGAATTAAATGCATTAGCTGATATAAATATCTTTAGGACTTGCCAAATATCTACATAGATATAGCACATAGTTTTCTGTTTTGTGACTTAGGCCAGTGCTTTTATTGGGATTTTTAAATCTCTATGCTATTTTCATTTTCTCTGGGAAGTGGTAATTAAATATTCATGCTGCAAATCTCGAAAATTTTAAAATTTACTTAGCCACTCAAAAGTTTGCTTTGCTCGCAACATCTCTACATCAGACAATATTACTTGTAATACCGTTGGTAACAATTAGGTCAAAAGGGTAAAGACCGAATCAAATACACCTTGACCAATTTGTACACAATTTTAAGCGACATTGGACATAGATAATAATCTTACCCAATTCTTCAGCATAATCATTATCACTGGCATCTAATAAATGTACAAATTTACGCACAACAGATAGGGAGGGATTTTCATCTTGCACTTTAAAAAAAAAAAATGAAATAAAGGCAATTCATTTGACAAAACCATACATAAAACCAAAATTTCCAAAACGCAAATTTTGGAATATCGTTGAGTTTTTCCATTTGGCTTTGATTTGTATGAAGAGAACACTCAAGATAATTTTACTTCAGGTTGGCAAGTTCTGAACAGTTCCGTCTGCTCCTTTTCTGGCCTCAATCGAACAGACAGAACCAGACTATTTTCAAAATTTTCCCTTGTATTCTTTCTACTATTTTTTTCGGCACACATGGAACGCTTTCTGAACTGTGTCCCAACTGAGTTTAATTAACTTCCGCATGATTCCATGAATTCCAAATTTGCAGAACTCTTCAATTGAGTAGCCTCCAAGTCTTCTTTACTGCTGCTCTACCAAGGGAGATTACTCTCAATACAGACTCAATATTTTACTACAACTAATTATATTTACCAGTATCATTGAATACTTACTAAGTGCTTTATAGTCTTGTTGAGCTAAATTTGATCTGAAGAAAGCTTGAATTTTCACTACCTTATCTTCCTGAAGAGATAAATCAAAAAATAACATTAGATACATAACTACACGGGGCAAAGGGGGCAATATCCCCTTGAAAAAATGGATTGCCCCCCTGAAAAAAATGTTGACAACCGACCAATACTGCAACTTAACACCATATACCATTGCCCCTCTGGATATATTACTTGCCCCCTGGATATATATTACTTGCCCATCTGGATATATATTACTTGCCCACTGGATATATATTACTTGCCCCTCTGGATATATATTACTTGCCCCCTGGATATATATTACTTGCCCCTCTGGATATATTACTTGCCCCCTGGATATATATTACTTGCCCCTCTGGATATATATTACTTGCCCCCTGGATATATATTACTTGCCCCTCTGGATATATTAGAGAAATATTTTATCATGTAACTTACATTATCTTTAAAATATTTCAATCTATCTTTATATTTCTTTCTTGCCTGCCACATTCTTGCGTACGCTTGGAGCTGAAAATCAAAATTAGTATTTAATTTAACTTCCAGAAAAAGAGTGTGGCAAAAAAGGCTCACAAGATCCTGTTTACCAGCTGGATTTGGCATTGTCTTGTCATCTTTCTTTCCTGAATTCCTCGACATGATTAGAACCTATAACAATTTTAAGTTTTATGTAACCTAGTAAATGATGTAAAAGAGCCAAAACTCTAACCAACTGAGCTACAGTCTGTTCTCAACTGGTCAGAATAACTGTTTACTATTGTAAATACTATCCATTACCTTAATAGCTGCATCAGTATTGTCTTCAAGATAGTTCATTCTTTCTTTAAACTTCTCTTTTTGTTTCTTACTCTTCCACCAGGCCTAGATAAAAAAAAAACATGAATATACTTCAATTCAAAATTGTCCAGAATAAATGAGATTTAGACAATAACTTTAACCGAACAACAAGTTTCTCTTTCTTTGATTGACAAAATATTGTTATTCGGATGGCATACTGGTTTGAATGGCAATGTTGACAAACCCATCCATGGTGGCAGCTGCTCAGTAAGAGAGAGCATGACCCTGCCTGCCAGTGACACTCGCCAAGATTACATATAGAAGTATTAAAACAGAATCTGAAACACAGATATAACATCCTGGTTGGCCACGAGTTGGCTACCCACCCTCCAAAGCGCAACTCTCTCGAATGTACTGTTTGCCTACAGTAGCGGATTAAGTTGGCCTATGAAAACCAAAAAAAAACAAGCAAAATTGGCTATTTTTTAGTCATTTTGATCAGGAAAAATTTCAAAATTCGACAGAAATGGATTTGGGGGGGACCGAGGGATATTGGAAATTAGATTAAAAGATGTTTCCTGCATTTTTGGCAAAAAACTAAAGACGCAAAACTGAACAAATTGGGTTTAAATTATGGAAAAATATGCAAAGTTTGAGCTCCTGTCACTTGTACTAACCAATAGTGATACAGCATCTTGGTTTGTGTTACTCAGTGTTCCAACAACTGACCTCAAGGAAGTAAAGATAAGGTTTTGTCTGCAGGCACATGTAATATATATATTTGTATGTTTAGAGGCCAAATCTTATCACAAGTCAAAACCTACCTGTAATTTAACAATGGATGGCTCTTGGTCTTTTAAATAGTTGACTCTATCTTTATAATGTTTTCTAGCTAGATATTCTCTAATATAAGCTTGTGATTGTATAATAGTGTCTTCATTAGCTTCAAATAACAACTCTCTATTATGATCTTCTGTTATTTCATTCACCACACCCTGAAATTTAGTTTTCTTATGAGAAACAGGGCCAGTGCTTACGAGAGTTCAGCCTAAGCTTGAATCAAATCCTTACTCAGTTAAGTGCTAAATTAGTCCAAAATTCAACATGCTGCAAGCCATAAGGGACAATTTTTCCTGACTTTTAACCATGTTTTTTTCTTTTCCACTGACAAAAACTTGCCGTCTGCTCCTGGCTTAAGTTGCAAACTGTTTTAACTAGCTCCAATTAAGCACCAACCTGTATTTCATCTTTAGTCAGTAAATTATGATCTTTAATAATATCATCTCTTCTCTTCCAGGCATATTCTCCAGTGTTGGCATTATAGAAAAACTTGGTACCATCTTTTAATCTGTTCATAATCCACCCACTACCAACATCACCTAGATCAAAACAAACATTTAACACAATCAGTGATTACTTCAGGCAGTGAATGCTTACCCTTTTGCCTACAAATTCGTAAATAATCTTGAATCATCCGAATAAGTGGCCAAATCATAAGAGTTCCTATATCTTTAATGAATTCAAAATTCATAAATTCTTTTACAGAAATTACCTGCTTGTAGTTTCTCTTGTTTAGTTTCATACAGCTTCTCATTGTATCGCCCCATACAATCTGGTGTTACATTAACTAATCCAACAGCATTATTATTAATAGCTGATGAAAATTCATCAGTATCTTTATCATCTACTGCCTTGTTTATAGCTACAACACCAGTTGACACTGAAAAATAAAACATTATCATTAATAGCTGGTGAAAATTCATCAGTATCTTTATTATCCATCATTGAAAAAACATAATCAATAACTGATGCATCAGTATCTTTATCATCTATTCTTAAAAAAAATATAATCATCAGTATCTTTATCATCATAGCAAGAACACCAGTTGATACTGAAAAATAAAACATTATCAAAAGCTGATGATAATACTAATTTTAGAAATTATAAACATCATCAATCAACTGATGAATAAAATAAAAATTCTAACAAAAGAAATACTAACAACTGACACCATCTGCAGCATTTTTATTAGCTTTTTCAACACATTCTTGAATTTCTTCTAACCATAAAACAGCACCTTCATCATTTGTTCTCTGAAGAATAAAAAATTAAAAAAATCGAATGGTGCAGAACTAAATTTGGCAAATTCAAAACCATTTTGAATTCTGTCTTTTTTTTCAGCACAGGTGGAAAGCATTCTGAAGCCTGTTCCAACTTGTTTTATTGAAATTCCAGTTGATTCCATGAATCCTGAGTGCAAAACTGAAAATTGACTCAAACATAACAATTTTGCAATATCTTAACTCACCTCTGCTTTCTTCGCCTTTTCCTTAGCTAATAATGAATAATAATGATCCTTTTGTTTATCATCAAGATCGTGTAATTTAGCTGTTGGTAACATAAGAGCTTGATAAACTTCTTCTGTATCACCATTATCTATAGCATCATTGATAACACCTATAGCGATAATTCCTGTAATATAAACAGACACATCTTTATCAATATATCACCATTATCTATAGCATCATTGATAACACATATAGCAATAATTCTTGTAATATAAACAGACATATCTTTATCAATATATCACCATTATCTATAGCATCATTGATAACACATATAGTGATAATTCCTGTAATATAAACAGACACATCTTTATTCTTTATCAATGTATCACTATTATCTATAGCATCATTGATAACACATATAGCAATAATTCCTGTAATATAAACAGACACATCTTCATCAATATATCACCATTATCTATAGCATCATTGATAACACATATAGTGATAATTCCTGTAATATAAACAGACACATCTTTATTCTTTATCAATATATCACCATTATCTATAGCATCATTGATAACACATATAGTGATAATTCCTGTAATTTAAAGACACATCTTTATCAATATAATACCATTATCTATAACATCATTGATAACACATATTAACTTACTTTCGTGTTCTTCTTGAACCTGTTGATGTACAGCTTTCACTGTTTCACTTATTTCATAGTGGGTTAATAAATCACATGGTAGCTACAAAAAAAAATATTACAAACTTATATCATTTGTTTCCTGAAGTATAGGAGCTAGATCGATACTCGATTACTAACCTAGAAGACCAGGGTTCGATCATACATAATAACAATAAATAAATAACAAGTAATAACTACTAATGCTATAATTCCCTTTCTTGTTTAATTTCATTTTCTTGTTTAAAGGAAGAGATACTTACCCCAGCTTTATCATGTTTAGTATTGGACAGTGCAGCTTGGTATTTTTCCATATTGTGTTCATCTAAATCAGCTAGATGAGCTTCAGGTGAACGTAGTGCTGAATATGTGTTACTAGGATCACCAACATCTATTGCTTGATTAATATTAGCTACAGCTCCCAAAACTGAAATAATATCACACAAGATTTAACCATGGGAAATAGATCTGTCATGGCATTTGCAGTGGACAGGCCTATCTACTTCAATGAATGGAAAAATAGTATTCTGACAAAATTATTCGGGGCTAAAATGTATAAAAATCATATTTTGGAACTTGTTAGAATTAGAGAGGGGTATTAGGCAAATGCCATTCTTAATTTGTTTGTCATAAAATATTCCTATAAGACTATAGTTACTGAATATGTGAATTGGATTGAAACTCTTAAAGAACCAGAAGTCTATACGTACCATTGAGAGCAGCACTTATCTCTTCATGTTCTAGATTTCCCTAATAAAATAGTCAAGTTTTATAATTAATATAAGTATTTCTAAAAGATCAGATAATTGCTAGGATGAAGCACATAAAATTAGAATAATGCAAATAGAAGGTAGATATGGTCCAGATACACATACATATCAGGTGTCCCAAAAAAATGTCCCAAAGTTCGACGTATCTCAGCTGTTGGTAAACTGATCTCTTTCAAAATTCTGAGAGATATACTTTAAGATGCCATCATCCAATAAAAACTGTACAAGTACTGCCCTGTACTTTATAGGCATAATTTGCATTTTGATATTGCACTTTTTGACATGTTATTTTGTTTGGGGCAGTACTTGTACAATTCTTATTCGATGACTTTCATATTTTCAGGGCTGGACAATGACATCTTGAAGTATATCTGTGAGAATTTTGAAGGAGATCAGTTTACCAACAGCGGAAATACAACCTGTTGAACATAGGGACGTTTTTTTTTGGACACCCGATATACATGCTAGAAAACTTCGTGACAACCCCTATATAAAATAAATAATTACCTGTTTTTCATTTTTGATACTAAGAAACTCTTCTAAATATAAATTACCAGCATAATCATACACAGGAGGTAATTGAGCGGCAGGATTCTGTAAGGCTCGTAATAATAAATCTCTATCACCATTGGCTAGAGCTGTGTTTATAGCTTCTACTGCTATACATTCTGTTAGAAAACAAAAATACTCATTCACTTATGAGCTTATTTGATACTGATGATCTACGCTTTGGATACAATAACCACATCAGGCCAGCTAGATTGAGTACTCAGGGTTAACTTTCCAAACTTGAACATAAGGCTAATGACAAAAGTAAGAATTCAAAAAATGTTTTCAAAGACACTTCAGTTTCCAAAAATGTAAGAAAACATCTGTTATGGACATTTAAAAAAACATTGAGCTTACTTTAAAAGCATTTTTGACAGCATTCCTTAGTTTTTATGCCAAAGTAAATTGTCTCCCTTCCATTGCATAAAGCAAATCAACTTTCAAATAGAAAAAAATTCAGATGAAATAAAATTAGAAAATAGGACCTACTCTGATATTCAGAATCTGCCTCCAGGTTAGCTTGATCTATAGCTTGTTGTAATTCTTCTTTATCCAGTGTTGTTTCTTCTAAATTATTATTATTCTAAACAAACATCAACAATAAATAATTCTCAGGATATTGCAAGTGAAAGTATAGAAGCATCTTACACTTATTACTAAATCAAAAGAAGATTTTCCTTCTTGGACACAAACTTATAAAGGCATAGCATTAAATGTAAGTCACACATCTTACTCCAATTATCTGGTAAGAAAGATTGGATATACAGTGGGCAATGAGGGTAATTTTGCTAAGAAATCAATTCATTTCAATTTCCAACTATCATGGCAGCTCAGAAAAAAAGAATAGGGCCCTTATCCTTGAAAACTTACGATGATTTAAATGTTCCAGCCATCTGATTGGTCAATCACTAAAATTGAATTTAAGGTTTAATATCCAATAGCCTAGTGTATTTCTTAAATTTCGGATTTAATCTTGGTGAGTTTAAGGATGCTTAAAAATTTGAAAGACTTACCTTTTTATTTTCTCTAAGTTGATGTAATTTTTCAATATAAAAATCGAGATTTTCATCATTAATGTTTTTCAAACCAAGATGTGATGATTTTAAAGCTCCTAAAATTGTTTGTCTATCACCTTTTAATAAGGCATCATTTAAATCATCTAACGCTCGACTGGCTAAAAAAAAAATGAAGAGCAATAAAAGAGCTTGCAAGATGGATCTTAATGACAGTAAGATTCAAATTAGTGACATGAAAAATCAAGGTATAAAACCAAGTTCATGTGATGTATCACATCACATCTTTGCAAAACATTAGAAACACAAGTTGTATGGATATACTACTTCTAAGTTTATTACATACTTTGTTTCAAAGACATAAAACTTGTGTTCTCTATTATGTAAAGATGTCTTGAATTATCACAACTTCAAAATCAAAATTATTATCATTAAATCTACTTACTGTTGACTTTGTTAAGATTTCCCTGAATTTCTGCCTGTGTTAAAATTTCATCATAAATATCTTGTTCTAAAACTCTATCAGCATCCATACTCTAAAACAGAAGTTCAATATTTACAATCTGACCACAGGGAGACATGGTTGTGCCAAATACTGTTCTCTATACATTTCAGCGGCCATGTTGGATTGGTTAAAATCTGCTAAGTTAGTTAGATCAACGGTGACTGACTGATGCCATATCACAATCTACAAGCTAGTTGGACATGATAGTTTTCTACCCCTTTGTTTTCTACCACTTTGTGAATTCTCAGAACAGCATTAACAGAGCATAGGTGAACTTCAATTCAAAATTTGACTAAATTGTTGCATAACCTTCGCAAATACCGTACCCAGGCCATCACAGACCTTGAATGGAAAATCATCAGAATTTTGCAAACAGAAGATAGCAATGTTCCTGATGAACCTACCAAGGCCTAAAAGACCTATTCGAAGTCCCACATTTTCTGACAAAAACCAAAACCAAGAAATGAAACAGACACTTTACATACCTTGTTTCTGGCATTTTCAGCTTTAGTATGTTTAGCTTGAAATAGAAGAGTTTGGTAATTATCAGCTGCCTCCAGATTGATGTTGACCAACATGGCTGATGGATTCTGTAGGGCGTTATAAGTTTCTTTACTGTTCTCATTTTCTATAGCTTCATTAATAGCAATTATAGCTGCATGTACTGAAATATATAACAAATTATACAAAACTCAATTATTTCACGAAGGAGTACACTACAATAGTGTCATTTGGATCCTGATGGTCAACGCTAAAAAGACTATATCTCGCCAAATCTCAATACTTTGAGATTTAGGCTGTACCAGTTTATTGGACCTTTAGCAGACTTCTTAAATGTTGATAAATCTCTGTTGAAACATTCCAAGCCATTTAAGTTGCATATCGTAGCGTGTATGAAGGTTTTCAAGAAAGGTACAATAGTGCATTACCAAATAAAAGATTGAATAGCGATGGAAGTAGGTATTTTTTGTAAAACCTTTTCGACAAGAAGCAAACTTACAAGCTGCATCATCTACAGTCATTTCATTGGCTAGAATACCACCAATTTTACCAAACGCTGGCATCTGAATACCATATTTATCTAATTCTTTTCTCATTGCACTAATTTCTTCATCTGTTAATAAAAAAACAAAAAAAATTCCATTAGGCCAGAAGTGTGGAACGCAGAAAATTAAAATGTAATGAAAATTAACTGATTTTTCAATACCAGCGTTTATGTTATTTTTTGTTCTTTCAACGAGCTCTAGATATTCTGTGGGTGATTCCATTTGTCATACATGATCTGACAAATTGTAATGTATCTCATGTTCTAAGTTATGTAATATTTAACCAATCAAATAAAAGATTTTCTTACTATAAGAATTAGGAATTCTGGATTTGATATATTTCTTGTGATTGCAGAGCTCAAATTTCTCAGATAATTTTTTGTTTAGTTGTTCACTTTTGTATTGGCAAATTTTATATCTGAGGCCTCTCTATAAATGTGTCAATTATTAATCCTTTTTTTGCAGAGTAATTTTGATAGAGTATTTTTGGTATTGAGTGTAAGTAAAAGGTTGTCAAAACTTATATATGTACTATGGACACTGATAGCATAATTATACACTATACTAATATTCAATTAGATGTCTGTGGTTCCTGCTATTCCACTACAACAAAATGTTTTTCAAAAGTGAGGTTATAAAATGCTATAGAAAGTTCAGAAAACATCTTGACAATCCTTATAATATAAAGTAAGTTGACATATAAACATGTCACTTTCTAATGTTATATTTAATTGACATATGTCATATATACACAATGATAATATAAGATTAGGATGTCTATTATAATGATGTATTATAACTCTGTAACATATAGTTATATAATATTATATAAGTATCAGATATTTCTCTCAGTAACAGATAGGTTGTCTTAATATATCCTTTATCCCCTGTTTGAGCCTAATTTCTGCTGTTTTAAGCAGTTCACAGAATTAAAATTCAAAATTAAATCTGTTTTTTTCAAATTATGTATTTTATATCTATAATGTATAAGAAAAGGGGGCTTTATACTATTTGACAGTATTAAAATTTGACAGCTATAAGAAGAATTTAAAGGCCATGGACCCATAGTATGCCATTTTGGAGGTTGATTAAGGCCTTGAATAAATGTAAATAGTCTTCAGAAATACTAGAAATGTACGAAAATACCATAATTCCTTCAAATATACGTCAAACTAGAAATTTCACTTTATTTTTCTATATTACAGATGTCTTTTCTATATGGCGTAGCCTCAAGAAAAGAAAAGAAAAGTGATTATTTTAACTTTAACGCGAATAACTCTGGACACACCATAGATTTGAAGGTTCAAATTTCAACACTATTACTGATTAGCTTTGGTCAAACTGAGTTTGGCCAGAGACTTTTTAAAAAGTGTGGTGTGAGTACAAGTAAAGAAGTAAGAAACAAACCTGTAAAATTAATTTTTCCATATAAATCTTGAATCTGGGGAGCCAGCCCCAATTTAAATAAATACAAACTGGAATGAACAAAAAATATAAATTTTATACACATAACAAGACATACAAATTATTGGAAACTTATAAAAAAATAGGCTCCCTAATTTCACTCTACAATAAAACAAAATTTTTTCAATACTTGTATCACAATTAATGACTACATAAAACTTAGAGTTTCAGAATTACAAATTTGAAATATCCAAAAAGAAAACAACACCAACTTTGTACTCCTGTAGGGCTGGGTATCGATTACCATATTGAGATCCATTATCAATGGCAGATTACTGATCAAGTGCTTTAATATCACTTGGAAACAGCTAGCCAGGTATCTATCATGTAACTATTAATATAGCCATGAAAGTTAATAAGTCTTCAGAAAGTCAGGTTATGAAAAGGAGTGTGCTTGACCTTCACCTAGCAGGTGGAAGAGTCAGTTCAGTGTGTTAGAAACACTGTTCTCTTCCATGACCTAGCGTTGTGAACAATAAAGGTTAATAACTCTTACCTTAAAGCATGAATACAGTATATAGCTCTGGGCATATTCTTTCTATCATATATATCTGTTGTTTCTGGATAGAATATCTGTTAAACAGAAATATAGAATGAAATGAGTTTAAAATTCTACCTTTCTGCATCTAATTCCATTTATGGAAGTAAACAACCCCATGTCATGTGCAATGAGGGAAATTTTGCCAGGATATCACAACGGTCTGTCTACACTGTTTCTATTTCAATTTTTCAAGGACCTTTCAAAGCCAGTGGCACCCCGGGACATTTCCTGTCACACCCAAAAGTTAAGACACTTTATCCATGCTTCACTGGATATTGTTTGAAACCTGAAACATAGGCCACTGATTGTATTTAGACACAACAGGCCAAAATGTATTTTCAGTAAAATAATTGGACTCTTACTTTGGGTAAACCAACTTCTTCCATAGCAACAAACCAATGATTTATATTGTCTGTGTGTCGAAAATGAAGCCCTGTTGCCTGAAAACAAAAGAATTCAAGATTTAAGGTAATGTTGATGAAAAGAAAGAAAAAGATAACCACTTAGGTCACAGTTAAGGATCCTTTCTACCAGCTGGTGCTTGGCCAAACCTTTTGGCATTGATCTTTTCCAGTTACCAGGCAAATGACGTCATGTAAAGAACCAACCCTCTGACAGACTGTGCTATAGAACCTCACAAATTTGATGATAATTTGAGTGGCAAAAAAAAAACACTCATGATTTAGAAAATGAACTAATCTGAACAAATTTAACAGTGTATCATATTGATGGGCATAGCATATGCATGGTAGAATCCATTAAAGTATTAAGGGTTTAATATAGAAGACAGGCATGCTCTTCACAGCTTCAGATTAAGGCGTAATATTTTCTTGACCAATGGCAACTAACGTGGATGCAAAAAGTCACAGAAATCTGTGCTTGGACGCTCCAAATCATGTCCTTAACCAAAAAGAAATTAACTTTTTCGCATACCTTGTATCTTGTTTGTTCTTTGTCATATATTTTCTTTAATTTGACTTTTTGTGGAGCGAAAAAATGTCCTAATTTGGCAAGGTAGACACCATTCATAAGACCCTCCTCCAGTTCTGTAGTGGGAGGTAGTTCTTCGTTTATACATGCTTGAATCCATCTGCAAAATAAAATATGTGTTTAATAAATATATGTTCAACTAACTGTCATTATAAGACTTCAATCTTGTAATAGACAATAAGCAGTGACCATAATCTTGTTATAGATAATTGGCACTGAGCTTTATCTATTATAGATTCTGGGGGTGACTTCTATCTTGTTATAGATAATTGATACTGAGCTTTTTTTATTATAGAGTCTGGTCAGTGACTTCTATCTTGTTATAGATAATTGATACTGAGCTTTTTTTATTATAGATTCTGGTCAGTGACTTCTATCTTGTTATAGATAATTGATACTGAGCTTTTTTTATTATAGAGTCTGGTCAGTGACTTCTATCTTGTTATAGATAATTGATATTGAGCTTTATCTATCATAGATTCTGGCGGTGACCTCTATCTTATAGAAAATTGATACTGAGCTTTATCTATCATACATTCTGGTGGTGACTTCTATCTTGCTATAGATAATAAGCACAGAGCTTTATCTATCATAGATTCTGGACAGTGACTTCTATCTTGTCATAGACAATTGATACTGAGCTTTATATGTTATAAATTTTTATCACGTTATTGATTTGGACAATGACTTCAATCTTGTTATATAGATAATTGGCAATGATCTTTATCTTGTTATAGATATTGGACAGTGACTTCAATCTTGTAATAGAGACAGAGACTTCAATCTTATTAATCAATAGATCAAAATGCAGTGATCTTATGATCTTGTAATAGACTCTGGACAGAGTTGAGACTTAAATTTTTTTAACTGTTGGACTGATCTATATTTGGTTAAATAAGGATTGAATGAAGATCTGGTTATCGTTGTGGGAAAAAAACACTGATTTATCATGTGACAAAACAAATGAGCCTGTGAAAATAGATAATAGTTGGTGAGTGACCTTTAATCTTGTTATAGATTCTGGACAGAGTATCAGATTATAATAATAGGCAGTAACCTTTATATGTTCTTATAGATTCTGGTCTGATTATTGTTATAAATACAGATCAGTCTAACTGCAGTAAGTTTAATCTAGTTATTATTACATTTAGTGAGTGTTTTTAATCAGATAATATGAGAATAACAAATTAATTGTGTTTACTGTGTAGAGAGTAGATTTAATATTCATGAAATAAATTGATTTCTGTCGATATAGACTTTGTTATTATTGTGTACTGTATATTATCTGTACATGGTAGTATTAAAGGGACAGTTGGGCCATTTTGGGGGGTTGATTTGAGACTTGAATATATGTAAATAGTCTTCAGAATACTAGAAGCGAAAGAAAATTGCATACAATTCCTTTAAAAATACTTCAAACTAGGATTTTTACTCACTATTTCTATTTTTATGTCTTTCCTATATATCACAGAGTATCTTAAAATGAGTCGTCATTTTAACATTCAAACGCAGATAATTCTGGACACACATGGATTTTGAGATTCAAATTTTGAGCTGTGAACACTATTACTGATTGGCTTAGCTCTGAGACTAAGGTACGATTGGTCACAAAAATGACGCATCTGTCTCTTTAATATTGATTATTCATTTACCATATCTATATCTGTTGCATGATTAACATGATAATTAGCTGGAAACAGATTTCTGCATAAAATAAGCAGTAGATATTGACTAGACACACAAGTTCTTTTCAAAATATAATGTTCATATTAACCTGTGAGCTTTTAAAGGCTAGATCATGTGTTCTGCCACAATAAAATTGAGAATTCGAGGAAAAAAAAAAAAAAAAAAAAAGAAAAAAGGATTCGTTTAGAGGATAACAATTTTAAACAAGTTGGGATTTTGAGGATTCATTCTTCCAGCTGGTTTTTGACCAAGCCTCTTGGCAAGTTGGCATTGACATTTTAAGGATTATCCATTCTCATTTACAACTGGTTTAACAGGGGTAATGAGGAAAGATCAGGAGATTCAAGATCACCAAACTCTTACACCAACCCCCAAGATCTTGTGCCCATTTCTCACTTGGAAGTACAAATATATTCAAAAGCAATCCATTTAGACATTTAAATCCAATTTATTTTTTAATGGATACCTTCAATATCCATATAGGCAGGCGTAAACCTATTTCACATAGCCTGAAGTCCAATAACACATGTTGTGTAGGTTTATCTTCTCAAATCAATCAATCAATCGATCAATCGGGGAAAATAAAAAAAATTACATGTATTAATCGTCATTGAATGTCATTATAACTAATTCATTACATTTGAATCCGTAGCAATGTGACATAGTTATTCAAATCCTAGACAAATAACAGAATAAATTTAACATGAATGAGGTCACAGACACGACATATCTGACAATTGTCAGTATAACTTTCTATAATATATAGCAAGTGAGGTATAATTTAATATATTTACGCATAAATGCATGTATATTCATAAATAACATGTCAAATGACACAGTATAAATTTTCTTGTCATTTTAGTGAAAAACTAAAATTCAATTTTTAAGTATTTTTTGTTTTCCTATAGCAAATATTTGTCACCATAAAATTTTTACATTTTTGTTAATATATGAAATTAGTAAGGTCAATAATCTTTGAATAATATTTAACATTTTCAAGGCAATAGTAGAATTATAACATTATGTCATGAGGCATTTGATGACCAAATTTGTTTAAGTCTAATTTTCTACACATGTGGCTGATCTACCTAACACACATTGACAAGGGATTAAGAACTTCGTCTCTTACCTTGACTGCAATATTCACCATTTTTGTATCACAGAATGCAGTGATTTGATTGGATTGTATGCTAGAAAATACAGCCATTCAAATTGCTGCCTTGACAAACCTTCATATAAAAGAAAGGTGGCTTTTGCAGTCCAGAAATAAAATGAAGTTTGTAATAGCTGGACATTGTGAAGACGTCTGCTACATAATAACATGATATAATATCTAAGCAGCGGCCATTATCAGCTGACGTCACATTTTATTGATGACCTACGCTCGGAGTTCTGGATATATGAACCTTTTTTATTTACATTCAGTGCTCAAAGAATTTTTTCTAAAAGAGTGCCTTAGCAATTGAAATATATACAATGTAAGCTTATATATAAAAATCTACATTATCCAGCACATTACTGGCTCCTGAAACCATCATTACATAATCACATCACACAATATAAACATGATATGATGCGATGTTTTCGTTTCATTTACTCAGTGTTCATCATATCATTTGGAATACTGGTTTACTCAGTGTTCATCATATTATTTGGAATACTGGGTATATGATGTTTTCGTTTCATTTACTCAGTGTTCATCATATTACTTGGAATATGGTATACTCAGTGTTCATCATATTACTTGGAATACTGGGTATATGGTGTTTTCATTTCATTTACTCAGTGTTCATCATATTACTTGGAATACTGGGTATATGATGTTTTCGTTTCATCTACTCAGTGTTCATCATATTACTTGGAATACTGGGTATATGATGTTTTCATTTCATTTACTCAGTGTTCATCATATTACTTGGAATACTGGGCATATGATGTTTTCGTTTCATTTACTCAGCGTTCATCATATTACTTGGAATACTGGGTATATGATGTTTTCGTTTAATTTACTCAGTGTTCAAAAGAGTTAATAAGGCTGGGAAATAATCGAACATGATTTAGATATAAAGCAGGAAAAAAACGCCAAGATGAAAGATACCACGAAAGTTAAGATGGGAAAGATTGTTTTAATTTACTATATAAATATCTAGATCATTCTAGACAAATACTGCCTCATATCCTACTGTATAATTATAAGAGTATTGATAAACTACTCGACTACAATAAATAGTTGAATGAGCTTGAGGGAAACTGTTTGAGTCATCCGATTCAAACCACCAACTACTATTACATTAATAGACACTATTTACACAAGTAAAACCCCAAATAATTTTACACCTATTCAAGGGTAAAGTGAAAATGAAATCTGTAGGTGTAGTAAAAAAAGAATTTGTCATTAATTGAGTATTTAAGATGGTTACGCCCACACATCTTTTTTTATTTAAAGGGATTGTAAAGAAGTTTTCTAAATTTGGTATGTGTGTATCGGGGACACTGATAGAATTTGTGACATTTTAATTTTTTAGTCTGTGGTTCCCGTTATTCTTCTTTTTAACTGCGTGTTTGATGACGTCACTATTCGGAAAATATGCATTATCATTTGAGGGCTTAGCGATTAGTGACACAGAAACATAAACGCTTAGTTTTAGTTGCATTGCAGAAACTGCAGACATGCGACTGAAAATTAGAATGGTGCAAATTGATGCTATCAGTGTCCGCAATACACATAAAAATTTTAGAAAATCTCTTTACAATCTCTTTAAATTCAGACATTTTGTATGAGTAATTATTATAAAATTACTCTGCATATTAAACAAATTTAATGTAATGCAATTATTTTTTTTCGTGGACACCAAATTTCTTTATTACCAGATTAATATTCTCCATTAATATGCAAAGCTTTGTTTGCTAATCCCTTTAGATCTATAACACATTAATAATATCTCAAGACAATGACAGTACTTCTATTATTTATTTCATTGGGACATAATTTCAGGGATTAGCTTGACTATTAGCCACAGTGAAATGTGTATTACAAATATTATCTGATCTTGAAACCTCAGCATTATTCTCTTTACATGCAGCTTACAACAAGTTCTTAAAGAAACTTCCTTGAGTGACATTTAGTAACTGGGGTATGAATAACTAGACACTATTATATGGATAACAATTCCTTCAATAAATAACTTGCAACATTTCCACGATGATACTTTTGTCCTTATCTTTAAGAAAGTTACAAACAATAAGAACCATTCTTAGACTAATTGATGTTATTGTAAGGTACCAGTAAATGGCCTGGTAGTGCCTGGTGTAAAAGCAGCAATCATGTGATGTAACTATAAGATAGTTATGTCATGATCTAGTCCAGTGCCATAAATTAGAATAACAGACTGGAAATCAGAATGGTTCCACTGG